CATCAGCCTGAGACCAGAAAAACTAGATGATGCCCGGCTACCACCAATGATCGCCCTGACGGGGAACACAACAGCGAGTCCCTGATGGAGTAGGAGAAAGGTGGGGTGCAGAACTCAAATTCTAGTAAGAATACCAGACTTAATGGTCTGACTGAGACCGGAGGAACCCCGGAAAGCATGTCCCCTGGATTCTCTATCAGCACAGAACTAAAACAAATTCCGAGGCCAACTCTTCAGACGGGGATTGGACTGGACTGTGGGACATAAAGTGATACTCGTGAGGAGTGTGCCTCTTAGCTCAAGTAGACACAACAGACTAAACGGGCAGCTTGTGTCCGGAGATGAGATGGGAAGGCAGAGAGGGTTAGAAGCTAGTTGAATGGACGTGGGGAATCAGGGGTGGAAAGGAGGAGTGTGCTGTCACAGTATGGGGAGAGTAATTAGGGTCACATAACAATGTATGTATAAATTTTTGTATGGGAAAAAATAAAACTAAATAAATAATGAGGTTCCCTATGGTTTGTCTTCAAATTGCTTTCTCATTTCAAACATTTTCCCTGGCTGATCTCATTTGTCACTTGGTTTCAACTACTTTGGTTTCAATGGTTCTTACTCTTACAGACCTCTAAAATGTGAGAAAAAACAAAAATCCTTTCCTCAGAAACAAACAAGCACATCCAAAGTTTTACATATAGTTGCAAAGAAATTCACAGACCCAGGAAGCCTGACCATGGACCATCAGAAAGTCCACAAATAACAGATTAAGGACTCACAATTCATAATGCTGATGACTCCTAAAATGATAGCTCCAGTTTACCTCCCTCTCCTGAATTCCAGGCCTATTTATCTAACTTCACAGGGACATTCAACCTGAATATCTTATCAACTAACCAACCAACCAACCAACCACTTCTTGTTAACTCCGACTCATGGTAGCCCCATGTGCGTCAGAGTAGAATTGTGCTCTATAAGGTTTTCAACGGCTGATTTTTAAGTAGATCACTAGGCCTTTCTTCCAAGGTGCCTCTGGGTAGACTCAACCCTTCAACCTTTCGGTTAGCACATTAACAGTGTGTATCACCCAGGGACTCCAGAGTCTCACTGGCTACTCAAATTCAACACACTCCAAAAT